GACTACATCAAACTAAAAATCTTTGCACATCAAAAGAAACCATCAACAAAATGAAAAGGGGGAACACACTGAATGAGAGAACTTCTTTGCCAATGATAAATCTTATAAGGGGTTAATTTCCAACTATATAAAGAACTTACACAACTCAACACCAAAACAAAACAATCCAATTAACAAATGGGCAAATTGGTATTGCTGTGTCAAAAGGCAGATACATTTTTAGTTTTCTGAGGAAATTCCATACTGCTTTCCACAGTGGCAGCACCAGTCTGCAATCCCACCAACAGTGTACTACGGTTCCCTTTTCTCCACATCCTCTCCAGTCCTTTTTGTTTGTTGCTTTGTTTATGACGGCCATTCTGACTGGTGTGAAGGGGTATCTCATTGTGGTTTTAATTTGTATCTCTCGGATGGCTAGTGATGCTGAGCATCCTTTTATGTCTCCAGGCTCTCTGTATGCCCCCCTTGGAGTAGTGTCCGTTCAGGTCCTTGGCCCATTTTTTGATTTTTTTTTTATCTTCCTGGAGTGGAGTTATGTGAGTTCTTTATATATTTTGGAGATCAAACCATTGTCTGAGATATCACTGGCAAATATGTTTTTCCATATAGTTGATTCCCTTTTCATTTCACTACTGTTTTCTTTAGCCATACAGAAGTTTTGTTTTTTTTTTAATTTGATGATGTCCCATTTTTTTTATTCTTTCCTTTATGTCCCCAATGTTCATAGCAGGACAATTTACAATGGTCAAGTGCTGGAAGCAACCTAAATGCCCACAAGTAAATGAGTGGATAAAAAAACTGGTACATTTATATAATGGAATACTATGCAGCAGAAAGAAAGAAAGAACTTGTACTTTTTTTGCGACAGCATGGATGGAACTGGAGAGCAAGTGCTAAGTGGAATAAGCCAGACAGTAAAAGACAAATACCACATGATTTCACCTATAAGTGGAACCTCATCAACCAAACAAATAAGAATGCAAAATATAACTGGAGACATTGAAATAAAGAACAAACTGACGGTAACCAGAGGAGAGGAGAGAGAGGGATAATGGGGGAAAACTGGGGGTGGTCCATCAAGGAACATGCAGGAAGGACATATGGCAAAACCAAAGGGGGCAGGTTTGAGGGTGTGAGGGGGGATCGGTGGGGCAGGGGGCTGTGGTGGGGTGAAAATGGAGCCAACTATACTTGAAGAACAATAAAATAAAAGAAATTGGCAAAGTACTTGAATATACACTTCTCCAAACAGGACATACAGATGAATAAGAGACAAATGAAAAAATATTCAATGTCAGTAATCATCAGAGAAATGCAAATGAAAACCAAAATGAGATGTCACCTCTCTCTTGTCAGAATGGCTATCATCAATAATTCAACAAACAACAAGTCTGCCAAGGATATGGAGAAAAGGGAATCCTCATCCAGTGTCAGTAAGAATGCAGACTGGAACTGCCTTTTGACTCAGTAATCCCACTTCTGGGAATATATCTAAAAAAATTATCTAATCTGAAACACTAATTCAAAAGAATATGCATACGCTGTCTTTGTTGCAACATTATTTACAATACTGAAGATCTTAGAAACATCCCATGTCCCCATCGGTAGATGATTACATAAAAAATTGTGGTATATTTACTAAGTGGAATAATACTTAGCTGTAGAAAAGAAGGAAACCTCACTTTTAAGAAAGTGTGGACGGACCTGGGGATTATTATGCTAAGTGAAATAGGTCATTCAGAGAAAGACTAATATCATATGATCTCATTTATATGTGAAATCTAATGAGCAAAATAAACTGACAAATAAAATGGAAACAGTAGCCTGGATACACAGAACAGAATGACAGCTGTCAGAGGAGAGGTATGTTGTGGGGCTGGAAGAAAGAAAGCAAAGGGATTAAACTAAGAGACATACACACAGAGACAAAGACAACACTGTTGCCACAGCCAGAGAGAAAAGGGTGTGGGGGTAAGGAGATGTAGGCAAAGGTGGGATAAATGAAGATGGAAAGAGACTGCTTTAGGCAATGGATGTAGAATGCAGTATGCAGATATTTTGTTGAGTTGTACAACTGAAACCTGCATGGCTATGTGAACCTATGTCATGCCAATAAATTCAATTACAAAAAATATATGTGGGGAAATGACTAATTCTAAACAAGATGGACTTTCAGGTTTCAAGGTGACATAACTAGGAGAAGATGCTATAAAGGTGGAGATTGAAGCATATGAACAGATATGGGGGCAGACAGTTTTTTTGCTAATCATTAACGTGAGTATTCATCAAAGGCTGCAATGACATTCACAAGTATTTTATTTAAGAATCAGCATAATAAATGACATCTCTGCACTGCCATCTACCTATGGTGACTTCCAAGAAGTAAACAAAGCTTCCAAATAAGCTTAACTTAGACTTTCTCAAGAGACTTACGTACTAAGAAAACCTGGTGGGACATCTCACGAGAAGGAAGAAAGACCTCACATTTTGTATTGAGATACAATCTGTGATAATGAGGCCAAGGTTACACATTCTGTTCATATAGTTCTCCTGCATTTCCTGGCTATGTGAGGAACCTGTAAACTTTCCAAGTATCTATCTAGTCACTGCTAGGAAACTGATCTGGGTTGGATAAGAGGAGCTAATAAGCATAAATCTATACCCCCACTGGAAAAGCAGCCCAATGCACACAATGTGCTGACAGTGAGTCGATTTCTTCAGTGGTATTTATAAAGACTGCAAGCCTCTGAGAGCTAAGATTCCATTTATGCTGTTTACAGGGTTGTTTTTATGTACTATTTTAAATAAATAATACAGTTCCTATGTTTCACCTAGAATGTAATAATAACACTGTGGCCTTTCCCCAGGATGTTTTCACAAGGTCAGGATTACCAATAGTTAATAAAGAAATTGTTTAAAAATGATTAAAATTATTAACTCCAAATATATGATTTTGGTATCTTGTGAGGTGTTAGAGTAGAATGTGTGTCCTAGATAACGTAATGGCTTAATATAGCATGCAGTTCACTGCTTAAATATCCATGCAGTTCTTTGGCATTTCAGTGCCAAAGTGTCATTTATACATGAGTAAATGTCTCCTTAAATAATCCAAGCTAACCTGAGAAGCTAGAGGGGGCCCATGATTTTTGCTTGCTTTCCAAAGTCAAAGACAACACATTTCTATAGCTTGGCCAAAATCATGGTGAACAAAACAGAATGTTATTCAGTATTTCAAATCTAATGGCTCACATTTTTTCATACTTTTGTTGTCTTCTTCTCCAACAGAAAATAATTGTTAGCAAGTTAAAAGATGACTTACTAAATTACTATAGCACATTAGGAGAATGATTGATGAGAGATCTGAGTATTAGAACAATGTTTGGTAATGATATCTCCTTTTTATTAACCTTCCTTAGTCATAGTGCTCATCTGAAATAATTATAGTGCAAAGGCAACAACATGGAAATGCCTCAATTTATAAATGATTCCAATGTAATATACAAATAAATTAATAAAATTGCTATCTTACTTTCTCTACCTATAATACCAGTGATTTTCAACTTTTTTCATCTCATGGTGCACATAAACTAATTACTAAAACTGTGTGGCACACCAAAATATATACTTTTTGCCAATATGACAAAAATAGGTATAATTTTGATTTAGTCACACCAAATGACTACTGTTGTGTTGGCTGTTGTTGTCATATTTTTATTTGACAATCTAAGGGAAATGAGGTCAGAGCCCCTGACTAAATAATTAGGTATTGCATGTTTTAAACATTCTTGTGGCACACTGGTTGAAAAATCCTGCATAATACCATCACCACAATACACACTTATCCCCAGCTGATTTCAACTGAAACTTAGTTTATTGAAGAACAGCATAGAGCTTCAATTAAATGCATTCATTCATTTATTAAAAAAAATCCTGAGTACCTGCTTATCTCCAGGAACTGTAACAATGCTAAGTAAACAGTATGATTTGTCTCCTGCCCTCATGAATTAAGTTGCTTTCTTTTTATAGCTTCCATAAATTACCATTTAATTTGCAGGCATAAATGCACTTAATTAGAGTATTAGGGAAGAATGGACTGTAAGTGTGATAATCATTATTAGATAAAAGGCAAAGCTCCTTTTATCTATCATAAAATAATCTACTCTGTGCCTTGAAAACAAGCAAATATATTATGCCTAAATAAATTGAAGGGCAAAGATTAATAGCTATCTGACTACAGTGATTAATATGGTCAGGCAAATTGCCACAGTCAAGGAATTAAAACCTGACTTTCTGTTCACCAACACATTGCTTCTGACTGGATTACTTAATCACTTTCCCTACCTACCGCCTTCCACAAATACAAACCAAAGTTCATGGAGACACTCAGTGATTATATTTTTGGTTATTTCTTTAGTAATCAAAATTCTTTTTAAAACTATTTTAAAATAATAAAATCAAAAATAACCTGAAGAAAGCTGAGGTGGTTCCTTTAGCATGGCAGAAAAAGACAAAGTATAATATACTTCCATGTCTTTTCTAAATCATTTCAACTTTGCAAAGAGGCTCTATAATCTATAGCACTAGGATTGAAAGTCAAAGCCCCCAAGAAAGAAATAATAATAACAATAATAATTTGTTTGCTAAATTTCAACTACATACATAGGCAGTCTCTCAAAAATCTATTACTTTACACAAGAAAAACAATCCAGAGAAATGCTGAAGATGTAACACATGTTTAAAGTCACAAGACTAATAACATTCATGAAGGAACCCCCAATACTGAAACAATTGGTCTGATGTTTGTAGAATATTTCCATTGATGACCTATCTTAGGAAATGGTTTCCTCTCACGTGAGCCTAGATATTTCTGATTAAATGGTATACGTAATCTTTGAAGAATAATGTTTACTAAAATATTAACTACAAATACCATTATTTACTTTGATTTTAATTATGCAGAACTCAGAATAAATATAACATATAGAAAGGTACACACATACCATTGATCCATCGAGCTTCTGGATCATGAAGCACAAAGTCTTTCCTGAAAAGGTCTTCTAAAGATAATCGGGTTTCTGATGAATTTGTTAGTTCATCTAAAATGAAAATAAATCTTATATTAGGCAGGTATTTCATGTTGAATTTTTAAAACTGATGAATCACAAAAATTCAAATATTTAGCTTCAAAATATGTTAAGTAGATAAGATTACAAAGTGATAATTTAAACATGGGTTTTGGCATTTGAAGTCTGCCTGTTTCATAATACTTTTCAAACATTAATTTTTTTTACATTAAAATTGCCTTGATGCAGTACAAACGTAATAGATTGATCCCTGGTTACATATTGATGAATAATGTGAAAGCACTTAAAAATCCCTTTTGCATATTGTGTTCCCAAGGGCATAATTTTCACTGTTTTATCATAATCCAGGTAATTAGTTTTAAAAATGACTTTGACATATTCTCTTTAATGATAAATTCACATTGTAAATACCAAGTGTGAGAGAGCTGAGGACTCTGAATATATACAATTAAGAAAACTTCCAATCTCAGAAGAAAGTTCACCAAATTATTAGAATAAATACCAGTTCCACCAAATACCAGCCAATAAATAAGTCAATTTAAAGGATAAAAATATAAAATGCAAATAATGCAATACCAGAAAATTCATGAAAAGCACATATTTGTCTTATCCCTGACATATAAACTAGGTGTACTCCCCTTTTAATTCCAAAATCTAGGATATTCAAAGAAAATACTGTTTAAGTATCAGAAGTAGGCATAGCAAACAATTTTAGACAGCAAGAAGCTATGGACAGGTTAGCAATATTTCATTTTCTTTGAAAAATAATAGCATTGTTTATTTACTGTACAAAATCTTTGTTACCTTCAGTTCTGACCTTCACTCTGATTGAAAATAAAATGTCAAAGGTACATACTAACCTCATTAGGAACTGTTTTTTAAAAGCTCAGCACGTATTACAGAAAGTGCTTTGTTTCTTCCAGCTTGAGAGCTGGGCCAAAGAATCAAATGAAATTCCTTCTAACATCAATCAACAACCATGTATGTAACCCACAAATTAAATGCTAAGGATCAAATAAAAAATGTTACTAGTAGATATAGTGCAAATTGTTTGATTCCAAGCTAGTAAAAGACCTTGTGATCATTTATAGATTTGTAAAACAAAATGCTCCATTTAACAGTCTGACGCACCAAAATTTGTACTTTTTTCATTCATTGAACAAATACCAGAACACTTAATTTTCAAGATATTAAATGAAGTACTGTAAGGTGCTGGAGACATATATATGTCCTGCTCTTAGGGGTTCACACTCGCAAAGTGTGGGAGAATATGACAGATATCAGAATAGGGATACAGAGGGCTGGATGAGTCCAGAGAAAGGGAGGGAAATATGTTGCAAAAGCAATTTAAAAAAGCACTAGATAAAAATAAAATGACTAATTTTCATCCACTGCTGTTAGCAATAAAAACTAGCACACACACTTTGGAAGACAGTTTGACAGTTTGTTACAAAAGTAGACATAAAAGCCAGCAATTGCACTCCTCTGTATTTTCCCAAATGAGTTGAAGACTTATGGCCACATATAAATCTGCACACAGATATTTAGATCAGCTTTATCCATAATTGTGAACATTTAGAAGCAAACAACATGTCCTTTAATAGGTGAATGGGTAAACGGTGGTATATTCAAACAATGCAATCTTATGCAGTAATAAGAAATGAGCTATCAACTACAAAAATACATGGAACAACCTTAAATGCATATTACTAAATGAAAGAAACCAATTTGGAAAAATATATGCAGTGTATGACTTCAATTATATGACATTCTGTACAAGGCAAACTATAAAACACTAACAGCAGTGATTGTAATAGTAACACATGTCAGGATACATTTTTCCAAATTCATAGAAAATACAACAGCAAAAGTGAACTCTAATGTGAGGTATGGACCTTGGCAGATAATGATGTGTCAGTGCAGTTTATTTGATTGTAACAAACATGTAATTCTGGTTTGGGACGTCAATAGTGCCAGAGGTCTTACCTTGTGTGAGGGCAAGGGGTGAATGGAAAACCTCTATCTTCAACTCAATTTTTCTGTGAACCTAAACTTTTCTAGAATATAAAGTCTATGATTTTGTTAAAATTAAATGGCTTGGACATTACAGGTTTCAAAAGAAAGATAATGGGAATTGTAGGGACAAGAGAAGAAACATTTTAGATAAAATAATGAGTAGTTGTTATTTTAACAAACAAAAAACACTTGATTCTAGACTTCATTTTTCTGTCATAGTAGTTTGGGATTTTAATCAAAAGAGCTAATTTCATTAGAGTTTCAGAAATATAGTTATTATATGAGGTACCTTAATAAAAGCAGTTTTTGGTATAGACAAGTTTCAAAATTTTAAGTTTCCTGAGATTATATGTAATGTGTCATCATTTTGTCTAATCCAACCCTTTCAACTCTTAGAGAATAATTCAGCATATCTACTTGAGATAGATTCATTTATATACACAAAAGTGAGGGGTAAGAATATAACTTTATTTCAGGGGAATATATTATGTTAACACAATCTATTACACAAATGATCCTTGCCTAATGAAATTAAAAATCAACTGTATGTAGTATATATAAATATCCCTTATATACATATATCTGTTTCTCTTTCAAAATTTTTTTCTATATCTAGGTAAATTTCACATATTTTGTTTCCTGTATATTTTAGGCAGATATAAGCATTAAAAAATACCTTGTAAGGCAAATGCACCACAGCAAACAATATTATTTTCAAATAAAATTTCAAATTACATTTCAGTAATTCTCAAACATTCATAATTTCATTTGAGCTTTAAAGTCAACTTCAAGTGATCAAATTAATAATTTTATAAAACAGCACAATATATACATGGTAAATTGGAAAACTTTAAACACTTTATTATATTAAGGTATTTCATGCAGAATTACTTATTCCACTCTCATTTTATGTTCATTAATATATTTAATCTTCAATTATCACATAGATCCTTTATATTTTCCTATTAAATACAATCTTAAGAATATGGTTTAATTGTAAACAGAACATTTTCCATTCTCATTTTAAATGATAAGCAGCTAATGACTGTTTATCATATAAGACTTTCCTTAAAATTGCAATGGTAATTAATTGATCCTATTTTTTATATATTCAATTATATCATCTAAAATATTTATTCCTTCCTCCCCAGTGTTTAAGAATTCATGTATGTATATCATATATATAAAACACTCAGGTAACTGTAAATTCACATGCAGTTGTGAAAAGATCCTTTATACCCTTCATCCAATTTCTCTCAACAACATGCATTTCTTGAATAATTATATCACAAAAAGAAATTGATACTCTGTATCAACTTTCTCCAAATTTCACCAGTTTTACATATATGTATTTGTATATGTATGAGCATGCATGTGTGTGTGTTTAGCTCTATGTACTTGTATCTCATATGACAAGCAACAGACAGGACACAGCAAAGTTCCATCCCCAGCTCTCCTGTGCTGCACTTGTACCACCACAGCCTCCTTCCTCAACCCTTGACAATGACTGATCTGTTTTCCATCTCACCATTTTGTAAATTCAAGAATGGTATGTAAATGAAATAAAATGTCACTTTTTGAGACTGGCATTTTTTAACCAGTATAATTCTCTTTGAGATCCATCCTGGTTGTCGAGTGTATCAATGCTCCACTCCTCCACTATTGCTTAGTAACATTTCAGGGTGTACATGCAGCAGTTTGTTGAATCACTCACTGTTGAAGGGCATCTGTGTTATCACTTGTCCTTTTGGGTTGTTATGAATAAAGCTGCTATGAACACTTTTATAGATTTTTTTGTGAACATAAATTTCCCTTTTTTGGGACAAATGCCAATGTATGCAATTGCTGTGTCACATGGTAAGCACATGGTTAGTTTTGTAAGAAAATGTTATATGCTTTTTTAGAGTAGTTGTACCATTTTACATTATCACCAGCAATGTAGAAATATTCCAGTTTCTCTTCATTCTTGACATAATTTGTTTTATTTTTTTAAAGATTTTATTTCTTTTTAGACAGAGGGGAAGGGAAAGAGAAAGAGAGGGAGAGAAACATCAATGTGTGGTTGCCTCTTACACTCCCCACACTGGGAACCTGGGCTACAACCCAGGCATGTGCCCTGACTGGGGATCGAACCAGCGACCCTCTGCTTTGCAGTCTGGTACTCAATCCACTCAGCCACACGAGCCAGGGGAATTTGTGTTATTTTTTAATTTAAATATTCTGATATTCATGTAACAATATTCCATGTGTTTTTAATTTAAAATTCCCTAGTTAGTGAACATCTTTTAATGTGCTGATTTGTGATCTACATATCATCTCCAGTGAATTGTTTGTTTATGTCATTTGCCAAATTTCTAATTGGATTGTTTCTGTTGGTGTGTTCATTTGCTTGTTTACCTTCTGAGTTTGGAGAGTTCTTTATTCCATACACAAATAATTTGTCATACATGTCAGTTTTTAAAATCTTCACTTAAGGATATTTTTTCCCACTGCTTTTACACAGAGAGGAAAAGAGGGAGGAAGGAAGAGAAAGAAACATTAATGAAAGAGAGAGAAACATCGATTGGTTGTCTGCTGTACATGCCAAACCAGGGATGGTATGTACCTGGACAGGGGATTAAAACTGCAACCTTGGTATGTGCCCTGAATAGGAATCAAACCCACAAACTTTTGGTTACAGGAAGCTGATCCTACCAGTTGAGCCACACAGGACAAGGCTAAATTATGCATTTGATGACAAAGGAAAAATGCTTTACCCACTTCTACATACTGAACATTTTCTCCTGTATTTTTTATTTCTAAAGGGGTCAAATTTCGTATTTTATGTATTGAGTCCCTGATCCATTTTGAGTTACTTTTGTATATAGTGCCAGGGTTAATTTTAGGTTCATACATTATTTTATTGTATTGACTATTGGATAGCCAATTGCTCTAGTACCAGCTGTTGACAAGTATTTATTTCATTTTAGTGAATGATTTCATTAGCTTAAATGTCA